ATGTATGCTGGGCCAGCCTGTGGGCCTGATCTGGTCTGGGAACCAGCCCCTCGCCCCTCTTCCAGCTGTAGGGCCAGAGGAATTTGACACCCTTGACCTAATAAACTTCTGTAATGCATCTTAGTACCACACAACTTTGGTTATTCATGTAGGAAAAAAATGCAAATCAGACTTACAAGGTGAGGGCTAATTGACATCCTGGAAAATGGCAACTGATGAAGATTTAAAAGGTTATGATGCCTGAAGTTTTGATAGCTCTAACAACACAGGAATCAGGAAGACTTAAAAGTCATTTTGGGTGGGCAGTCAGACTTTCCTGCAAGACACTTGAATGCTGTTATCAACTTCATTTTTCTCAAAAGCTGAAGTGATGCAATTCTAGTCTCAGAACCTGCACAGAGAGATGTTTTATGGTAGAGGGCTTGTTAGCCTAACAAAAACATAAGAGCCACTGGCTGCAAACTGAAGCCAGAGATATTCAAAGTCAGAAATGCAGTTTTTGAACAGTGAGAGTAATTATCCCCCGAAAACCCTTACCTAGTAACGGACTTAATAGATTCTCCATCACTAGAAGTCTTAAATCAATGTCCTTTCTAAAAAGATAGACAGTAGCCCAATTATAGCACATCAGCAGCTTGACTAAATTTAAGGTTGAGACTCACTGTTTAAGCATCTAAATGGTTTAATATTCAAATGCTGACTCATCACTAAAAAGAAAGTTATCATTGGTAATGCCAATTAAGAGTAATCAGAATTCATCAAACAAGGGACACAAAGGCAAAAGGACAATGTGCTGACAATGGAGTAAAGACAGAAGATGTAACAACAAGATCAGACAGATTAGGAAGATGCCTCTCAGGTGCTTCAGAAGTGCTGAAATGCAGTGGAACTAATGCATCATATGGAACTACAAGAACACAGAATTCAGCAACTTTCAAAAAAGAAAGTCCAGGTGATCTTTCTGCAAAACCCTCCACCAGTTTTGCAAGTGAGAAGACAAAGTTAATAAAGTGAATTGCTGGCTGTACAACTGGTGTTCTGTAAAGTATTAGTTCACTTCCAACCACAGAAGGCATGTGCATATATGAATGGGACTATGCATCTCACAACTAGGAATGGCTTATCTTACTAAGATAAGAACTAAGTTTCTATCTTACTAAGATAGAAACTAATTGGAGCAGCCCAATAGACTATCAACTAAACAGAAAAAGGGGGCACAGAAAGAGAAGGGGAACAAACTCAAATTCAAAATATTGCAAACAAGCAAAACAAAGATGACATATAATGAATAAAAGTTACAACCAAACAAATCGTGCCTCTCACACATAATGAAGACATTTTCAGTACTTGTATATGAGTGCTATAAGTATGTGTAACAAGAAAAAAGGAACTAGAAATTCTCTTTAGTTCAGGAGCTGAGAACTGGCATTCCCAGAACTTTGTGGATGACTGGAATGGTAAAGTCATTGGTTACAACTGGCTCACAAAGAAGTGACTGGATAAGGGCTGTAGGTAACATCTGAAGTTTTGACATAGGAATTTGGAATGCCTCTGGATCTATGTGCCGACTAACAAAGCTCAGAAACAAGTATCCCCTACATCAGGGTCTGTTACAGACCAATTGAATCAAGTCCAAGAACAGAACAGTGCTCTCTCAGTACCTGCCTGCAACGAACAGTTGCTATAGGAGACATTTACGAGAGGTCTGATATAGTTAGTAAAACATAATTCAAATTCCTAATATTGGAAATCATTTTCTTTCCAACATAAGAAATTTCATCCAATGCAAGGTAAAAAATGTGGACCTCAATATGAGGGATAAAGATGAAATAATCATTTGTCTGGAAGTTGATATTTGTCAAGGGACCAGTGATTATGACCTAGAAACATTCAATACAGGCCAACAGAAGATAGTTCCACTCAGTAAATTGGGCACACATACAGACAGCATCTCACAAGGGCAATTCACTTGAGTTCAGGAAAGTTGGGTCAAATAGATTAGAAGGAAAAATGTAGGCAAATATCTAAATGAACACTGTGAGTTCAAGAACAGTTTATTATGCAGCCACAAAACCTATGATAACCCCAATCAAGAAAGAGGAAAACTTTAGGTAAAAGTTCACCTTGGTTCACTGACTAAGTCATGATAGCAATTAGAAACAAAAACATAATAGAAAAATGAAAAACCAGATATTGATCAATATAAAAAAATTAGAATTATGAAAAGTGCAAAAAGTTAAGATGGGAAGCTGAAGTCATCAGAGGACAAGCACAGGATGGCAGGACTAAGGAGGTTGTATTTTTGGTCTTGTTTTTCTCTCAAAGTATATTCAGAACAAAATAAACCCTGGCAATAATACCAGTCTGCTGCTAGACAGATAGTAAAAAGGCCAACAATGCAAAAGGCAGAAGCAGTCAACAAATACTTCTAAATTCAGAAAGACATTGGATGATATTCTAATTATGAGGATGGCATTCTTTCCAGTCCAGTAATAACGGAGAAGGATATTAGACAACATCTATCAGACAACATTTTTAAGTCTGTATGCATGAATATCTTGCACCCAAGAATACTAATGGTTGAATAAGTAGAACTCTGGCCAGTCAATATTCACTTTTAATACATCTTGGAATACCAGCAGAATTTTGTAAGACCAGAAAATCGCTAATGTTGTGCCAGTATTTAAAAAGGACCAGCAGGATACTCGAGGTATAATAAGGCTGGTTAGTCTGACAGGAATCCCAGACAAAACAACAGAAAAATTGATAAAAGATTTAACTGGTAAAGGATTAAAGTACAGGAATATAAATCTCTGATCCAAACTAGTCAATGTTGTTTTACGGAAAAAAAAGGTTTTGCCAAAATATCTAATCCCATTCCTGGATGAGATTATCTTTTTTTTTTTTTTTTTTTAAAGCTGACTGCATAGATGTAATAGACTTTTGTAAGGCATTTGACTTGGTACCATACAACATCAATTATTTTTCCCCACTATACAATATAGAGCATACAATAAATGGATCAAGAACAGGCTGACAGATCTCAGTTAATGGAGAATCAGCATTGAAGGGGGGGTGTTTCCAGCAGGGCTTCAGAGGGACCAGCACAAGGGAGAGATGCGATACAAGATTTCCTTAATTGATCTAGAAGTATAAAACCACTGTTGATAAAATCTGGAGGGCATAAAGATAGGGCAATCATACGGTGATCCAAACCATTTGGCAAAACTGAGCCCATTTAAACAAAGAGCGTTTTAATACAGCCAAATGCAAAAATTATGCAACTAAGAACAAGGAGTAAAGGCCACAGATACAAAATGGGAGAACCAGCTCATGAAAACAAGCAACTTTGAAGATTTAGGGATAATCATGGAAAGCAACTCAACATTGAGTTTGCCATGTGCAATGCTGTTGAGATCCTTGGAGGCCTAGTGTGTATGCAGAGGGGAAATCACCCTTCTACATCACTGGTGATTAAATACTGACTCTAGTTCCGGCATCCACATTTAAAAAATGCTGACAAAAAAATGGACATGTAGAAAGAACCAAAGATAATGCAAGGGCTGGAGGAACTAGTTAGCGGTGAGAGACTTGGGGGCTCAATCTGTTTATCTTATCAAAAAGTAAATGGAGAAATTTAATAATGGTGTTTAAGTACTTTGGGGGAGATGGGATGGAGGGAGGGGACACACTGGGTAGTAAGCACACTTTAATGGAAAACATGTAATGAGAACCTGCAGCTGGAAATTGAAGGCAGACTAGTTTAAATTAAAAGTTAGCTGCAACTTTTAACTATGATGGTGATTAACCATTAAAACAAACTACCAAAGGAAACTGTGGGTTCCCCATCTTGTCAGACTGGATGTGTTCCTGAAAGATATGTTTTTGCTAAACAAATTAATGGTTTCTATGAGAAAAAAAAAACCTGGGTGAAAATGAATGGCCTAAAATATACCTGAGGTCAGACTAGATGATCTGGCGGCCCCCTCTGGCCCTAAATTATGACTCCATGAAACAGCACCACCATTCACTGTAGTGCCTGGGTCACAGGTGCATGTAAACAATCCTCAGCTCCAGCCCACTCGCATCTGGTGCAAGAGAAGTGCACAATTTTCTCTGTGGAGCTGCTGCTCACATCCCACTGTTGACAAAGGTAGGGCAGTACTATTCTAGCATTCACACAACTGCTCTGGATTCAGTTACATGACATACTGCTCTCACATGCAGTGGTGCACAGGGAAGGAACACACAATTCTCACACATTCTTACCTTGTGCATTGGGGCAGGTGCTCACAATTCATGCGCACATGAGCACCTCCATTCCCCAAGGAGCCTTTTACACAAATTTATTTCTATACAATATTTTTAAAAAAGCCCCCTTTCATACAGAAGTTTGGAATCCTGGAATTTTGTTTTAAATCCCAACATCGAACAATTTTTCTTTGCCTTTGTTTCTTTCTTCTGAACCAGCCTCCATGATCTAGCAATCCAAATGAAAGCCAGATAAATGAACAAATGACATGAAAAACCATAAATCACATGGACCAAAACCAAAACCAAAAAAAGAGGGGGAAGGGGATGGTCAGGGGGGAGGGGGAAGCTGGAGACAAAGAGAGAAAGAGGGAAGAATAAAGATTGAAATTTTTTTTCCAGGATAACGCATTTTTATAAACACAGAGATAGAAACAGTTACAGCAAGGACAGAGTGGGCCAGGACTGGGGAATAGATATTTATATATATA